GGTAGCTGATTACGGGTACTCTGTGCCTTATCTGATCAAAATCAGCTAAGTAACAGTTAAGTTATTGATAATAACTCCCTTGAAATAACAACGAAACAGATTAAATAGAATAAATTTATTGTCCTAATTAACCCTTTCACTGCCATAGGGACGGCTTATGCCGTCCCCTTTATTTTCGGCGTATTTGCCATATGGACGGCAATAGCCGTTTCTATAATAATAATAGTAATAATAATAAATTAATAATAATAATAATAATAAAAATAATAATAAATATAAAGAAAATTATACCATCGACAATAATTATTATTATACTCACAGATTTGGAAACATATATAATTATTATAATACTAATAACAAATAATAATAATTATATTAATTAATAATATAGTAATTTCTAAGAAAACCCTCTGGCAAATAGGTGATCAATAAAACAATAACCCTCTGGCAGCGAAAGGGTTAAGTGTCGCAATCAAGAAATAAGTAAATTCAATTATATTTAGTAATTTAATTACTTCAAAGAACTGCAAAGATATTCAAATATTCGCATGTACTCAACAATTTACACCAACGCAAATAAACTATGAAAACATCATACAAATAATTACAAGTACTGAACTAACATCAATTTAAATAAACTTTGAACCATCAAACAAAGAGCGGAGGGAGGGTAGGAAACTTGAAACTTCAACGCGACACGAACATTTTCTAATAGCAATGATAAATGGTAAGTAATCAGAATAAATACTAAGAAGCGTAGGAAAACAAACACCTATGACCAATGAAAAGTTGTTATGATCAATGCTTGGAAACCACAGTTAAAAATAGAACTACGGAAAACAATTCGGCTAATTCCGTCAAACTGCCCGAAATGAACCGAATGATACAAAAAATAAGTTTCAGTGTCGTAATTAGTTATTTTAAAACATAAATTAATTCAAAAACATACCTGAACCGGGTACAAAAAATTGCGTGTACCGTTCCCGAAAAGTCACGCTGTATGGCAACATTGAAAATATTCGAATTTAGTGTTTAGCTTTAAAGCTTGTTTACACTGATACTGTTTCATGAATCAAAACTTATCAAGCTATAGAAATAGATTTTAAGTTAAAAATGGATCCTATTTATAGGGGACAAAAAAACTGACAAACTGACTGCAATAGTTAAGTGTCAATGGTGTAAACACCATAAGCGTAGTCATAGAATTAAAAGAATGACAAATACAAAAACTGGAGCTGTCACAATCATTAAGTGGCGACTCTAAGTTTGGTAATAATTTCAGAAGAAAATTTGCATTATTTAATGAAATTGCATGTCAGAGTTATGAAACCTGGCTAATATACCTATACAACTATTATTCATAAAGTTGTAAAAAGTTTCACAAATGAGTTGCTAATGGAGAGCAGAAAAGCCGTAATGTCTCAATTCTAAACAAAACAAGCATATGTGATCATTGAATGTAAAAGCTATTTTTTAAATAGTCAAGCTTAACTGACAAATCAGGTTTTCTCAAAACGTCAAGGTAAAATGATTCATCAAATCTTTCTAAATGTTAAAATCAAAGATACTGATACACACAAACAAAATTCCGACGACAAACGTGTCCAAAAGACACAGATGCCCCCACACTTATGACAATTGAATATTTCAATTATATACTATTATAAATCAAGAGAAATAACTCTAGAAGTCTTGAATTAACCAAAATACGAAACCCAACATGCACAACTATAAATGCTAATCAACATTCCTGTAAAGTTTTTGACTCTAACAAAAGTACATTTGCAGAAACACGACTGAATATTTGGGGACCGGACGGACATACAACTGAAGTTAAAATTTGCTCAATATACGTAATGCATAACATCTCTTTTTTCAAACACAACAGCATCTTTTAATACAGAAACGAAGTAGCTTCAACACTTAAAATCAAAAATGAATTCTTCATACATTCTGATTCTGCTTCCTCCCCACACAATACAGACTGTTCACTGTTGGGCTTAAAAGACCTTGGTCTAACATATATATGACACTTGGATTAGAACATCCCTTGTGTATTTACATATTCTACATAAGAACATTTGGATCTATTCAAATCAGTGAATTCATGGATTATTTCTCCACGTGGATCTATCAAACAATTTGACATATTATCTATGTGGCCAAAGCAACTAAACATCTTTTCCATTTCTCAACAATATCATTGACAGTTATGTCTAGGTCAGCTTTGCACGATATTGTTCAAGTTCTGCCACCCTTTGCATTTGTAACTACTCTATATGCATTGTTTCTGTAATGCTGCCATCCCAACTTAACTTTAAATTCTGATCGTCGACCTATCCCACGTCCACTTCTGATATTGAACCCGGGTATGGTGTTTCCTTGAAATCAGAAGTTGGATGCATTAAAGATGAGACAAGTTCAAGATAAAAAGTAAAGAAAAGGTCAACTATGTTATATATTAATTTTGCATTTATTGATAAAGGATATACATGCAGTTCAGATTTAAATCCATGTCTTTGGCGGAAAAGATTCTGCACGTGTAAAAGTAAAAACCAATACAAAAAGTCAATTCATATTTTTTGTTACGAATGTGGGTGATGTTTAATTCAATTTGTAATTAAGTAAAAACATAATGTTTTTGGAAAACACGGTTAACACATGACATTTAGTGTATTCATGTATAATTCATATCAGATATTAGCTATACTGAGTATCAATGGTCTGACTCATTAAAAATAAATGTTTCCGTATCGAGGAAATGAAAACTCAGCCACATTATGCCGTCCTCCATATTCCCAACTGAAATGCAACTTCATGCGTAGTGACGTAAATCATGCATATTTATAAGGTCAAATTTAAGCCCACCCATTCAGGTAATTGTTTAATTAAGTGGACTGGGAGTGACGTAATAAAGTGAATATTAATGAGGCCTGTCTTCACGGATGAACACTAATATAAACAATGTGTATTGTCTTCATAATTGGCCACAACAACACTTTGTTCAAGACCTTCACGTAGACCAGACTAAATTTGACTTTCGTTTATAAATGATCTTGATTTTCGAGGTCAAATGTCAAGTTTGTGCTTGATTTTTGTATTTTCTGATCGCATATCAGGAAATACAATGCTGACATTCAATATATCTATGTATATGTTTGTGTTCATGTTAGTGTTGAATTTGACCTTATAAATATGCATGATTTACGACGAAGACGCATGCACCCTTGTGATATAGAGGATGCGAGTTTTCATTTGCTCGGTATTGAAACTTTTATTTTCGGACAATTGATGCTCAGTAGATATGATTGATACATCTATACACTAAATGTCATGTGTTAACACGAGGTCACGTAAAAAACCATAATGTCTACTTTCTGTCTACCGAAAAGAAAGTGAATAGACACAATTGACTTCCCTCTTAGTTGCAAATTAATTAAGACATTTCCTACATTCGAAATAAAAAAATACTAATTGACACTATGTTTTTGTTTTTACTTCAAATTACACTTGCAGTATCGTTTTGCCAGAACGTGGATTTAAACCTGACTTCTGTTCATCTTTGGAAATTAACACACATAATTTTGAAGAAATGCAGCGTTTCTATTGGATGATAACTAAACCTGGACACTAAGTAGGCTAGAATGTTATATATGGTAGTGCACGTAATCCTATTATGGACCAATTTTATTATGAAAATAAGATAAAAAAATCCTCTTGTTTCTTTCTCCACTAATCTTCATACTTTATTTATTTGAATGGCAAATATGAATGAGAGAACGTCTTAATGTCATATTGACAATGTCTGTTATGCTTAATACTTCATATAGTAAATTCATTGCTATTTTATGGGTCTTTTTTTCAACAGTCAAGTTTAAAAAGGATGAGGTACATCGATTTTTTAAGTAGGAAATTCGTACTGGAACTAGGTCTGGACAAACAATGCGAATCGGTGCCTTTGCTCTGTAATTTTCTCCATTGTTTTCCGTAATCTGTTATCCGTTCTATCGCTAGTCTAATGGTTAAGGGTCTGCCTCTGAACCAAGGGATCACGGGTTCGATCCTTGGTCGGATCAAGAATAAGTTTCTTCATATGACACCAATACTATATGGTTTTACCAAATCCTTTCAATGGATAAACATTCTGACCAAATTGCAAATTAATTTTCCCCACTTACTATGTAATTTTAAAAGATTTTTTTATTAAACAATATTCACATATGCATATCAATATCGGTACCCTCTTTGTGAAATCTACTTAAACGGTACTCTATTTGCTCATGCTTAAAAAAACCAGCGATTGATAACAATCCAGTTAAATTGAAATATGAGGAAAGGAAAAAAGATTTATACCATGTAAAACTTTAACGTTTTTCTAAGTGTATTTTTATAGTGTGCACATTTTTCTATTATTGCACATATTGCCTATATTGCACCCCACAATAAACTACATAAAATCGGCATATCTAGCCTCGCCAACCGCCCTAACATACAGTATTTTTTCGCCCTTAATTGAACCAGAGGTTTGATTATGTATCGCATATATCTTCATTTATATTTACATGTATATCATCTTCCGATATATTGCAATAATTAACAACTAATAATTGTAAAATTCATAACACCCTTCTTTTCGTTTTGCAGTGTCGCGGGCTACCTTTTTGCTTTTGAGTTTATTTATCACAGGTAACCTCTTTGAATAGGTACCGTTTGTGTAGATATCGCGAAGAGGTTACCAGTATGGATATGCACCGTGACTTAGTACCGCTCTAAAGTACCGCTCAAGCCGGTGCTAGGGGCGTGAGGGACGTTGCACTTATTCATTATTCCTCATGTACAGACTCAATCAAACCGACCTGCAATTTTCATGTTATTATGTTGTGATTAATATATTTTTACAAAAGTTTGTATTGGTATAGGTAGTTTTTTAATCCTAATACAATCAAATGACCTTAGGTTCAGAAGAAAAAACAACAACAACATTGAGTTACAGTGTACGTTTATTTCTCCTGAAAAGCACTAACACATTGAAATGAAAGAAAAAACCGAGTGTGAAAATAGTTGCCTTTTATAAAAACATGTAAGAACAGTTAGCAAATTTATTCAGTCCTTTACTTGTAATTGATTTAAAATATATAGTTTGAAAAAGACTTTGTAATTACATCATTTGACATAATTGATTTTCCTTAAAAACTTGCAAAATTGCTTGATTACATCATGATAATAAGTATCAACTAAGTAAAGATTTCTGAATGAATCTTTTTGAGTTATCAAACACAATTTCTCGAAACAGTAAAAATTATTTAGACAAAACATGAAACTTTAAATCCAAAAACGATCTTTTTCAGATTCTATTCGTTGATCTTAAAAGTAAGGCAATTAAATGAAAGAGGAAGCAAGAGACGAAAGGAAAGAGGATGGACAGATCAGTTATTAACGACAATATCAAAATGATTATAGTACGTCACAAAAAAATGGAAAACTTTATAAATGAAATTCGTTTAACAAATGCGACGAAATGTGAAAGGTCGTCAATTTTTTTATTTCTGAAAAAAAAAGAAAAAAATCTTTTCCTCTAATAATGATTATCTACATTTGAAAAAAATAAATTACATCTTTCTTTTTAAAACTGAAATATGCAAAAGTATACTTGAACTATTTTTATAAAATGATGAAAGATGAAATATTTAAGATTATACATTTATTCAATTAAATAATGTGATTTCAGATTTATTGGGCATTTTACTGCTTTCCAAAAAATATAATGTAGGAAAACAAAATAAGATTTACAATTATTACATAAAACAAATTGGAATGAAATCTATAAAGTCAGGCGTTTATTTTTTTTCCAATCTAAAATAATATATACCATTTATAAGGTAGAATGAAATCTTACATTGTGAACTTTTCCTTGAAAGCTATTAATACATGTGAAGTTTGATATTTGTTAATTTATGTGACATAAATGTATGTTGCTAATAGCTTATATATTCTTACACTCAATTAACATTTATCATATTACTGACTTTTCACGTGTCACAATTATGAATGAATTCCTCATCTTAAATGTATATCTATGAATAAAAAAATACAAACACAAAAATTACAATAATTTTTCAGAGAAGCATCTTTATAAAAGTCAATAACATCATTCAATTTATAACTATAACACAACATAAAACTTTTTTTCATACCTCTAAAATACAATTTGTATATCCCCTGTGTCTGCCTAGAATTATGTAATTCAGTATTTTACCTGTTTATCTCAAAAATACAATTCCATCAAAAATTGCCCTTTCCCGGGAGTCAATTAGTTTTAAGTCTGTGTGACTCTTTAGTCGCACAAATTTAGGTTAAGAATCTTGATTTATTTGTCAAAATGTCTCTACATTAAATGTCTTTATATTAGTAAGCATATGCCTATACAATACTATAAGGTTTTTTTATGAAAAAAAAATAAATTCTTTTGAAAAAAAAATACAATATTATTATTGTACAATACAAAGTAAATAGTTTCTCTCTTGCTTACTCTAAAGCATTTAAGTAAAAAATATTTGAATTTTCATGTCCCACTTAAAGCAGCACGCCTCCAGATTCATGTTTATTTTCATTAAATATTTTGGAAATTTATTTAAAAGTAAAATAATGTGAGGTAAACAAATAATGTAATGTGAATATTGCAATCGGCACTTACAATCAACAAAAATTACCAAAAAGTGTTCAGCATATGCAAAAACAGCCCTTACTCCGTTACTAACGCAGTAGAAATATGCTTATAAAATACTGCAAAATCAGTCTTAAACCTACATAACATGCAAAATATAGCTTGAATCTTGAATATTTTAACCTTTCTTAAAAGTTTAGTGCACTGTTCTCAGTATTCGTTTTCTTGAAATATTTCGGCTCATCTGGAGGCGTGCAGCTTTAAAATGTGTAAGGTTATCGCGTAACTTGATATATAATTACCTTATAACTTAATAACATTAATAACATGTTTTTGTTTAACATCGAGTATAAATTTAATTTCATCTTTTTGATTCAAACTTTCCAGATTTCATTTTTTTATGTCTATAGGCGTAAGTCAAGAACATGTTTTGGAATACAGATCCAACAAGCTATCATCTCTTATCATTGTGGGATCAGCTGAATTCATCATATCATATGTAACCGTTCCTATATTACATGCTACTTTCTTCCCTGATGCTGAATATATTTCGTAGGATAAGCAGCTAGGGTTTTCGTCACAGGCTATTTTACATTGTTCCAGGCTGTCATACTCCGCATAATCACTGTTAAAACCGCTGATAAATTTGTTTTCGAATTTCATGTAATTACCTGTCATTGCTTGGCAAACTGAAATTTAAAATGATTTCAAACATATGTTATTTATTGACTTCATTGGCAATTTATAGAATTATATAGCATACAGTTTAAACTTAAATAAGAAATTAAAGTTATTTCAGCTTTTAGATAGAAAAAAATATGCATAACCAAGACAATTTAACTCAATCATTTATGTAAATTTTCGCATAATTGAAATATTTAAATGAAATAAATTACATGCAAAATCTTTTTATGAATAACTCAATTCAAGGATATAATTGTTTTATTCCATACTACTTTATATCTTAGGCATAATTTTACAAATATTCTGGGAAGGTCTTAACCTTTTGCTGCAAAGAATTGTTTCATTGTTGCTTTTTTTGTTCAGGTATTATTTGCAATTGTGATTGTGAAAGAAAAAAAGACAGAATTAAACTATATTAGATATAATGTCTATTTTAGTGCTATGGCTACTTTAATGATATGCATGTATTACCTTTTGTGCAGTCATTAATTGTGTTGTTATATGCATATAGTTGGTGACAGAAACACATTCCTCCTATACACACACCTTCTGTTTCAATACAGTCTGCATTACTTGAGCAAGCCTTTCCAAGCGTCGGTGCTAAGAAAAGAAAAAAAAACTAAGTTTAAAAATGAATTAGAAATTTTACATAGATGTAACTTACATCTGCTTGTTTGAAATTCCACACACATGTTACATATTTCAGATCTTCGAATAGAAACTTTTTTTACATACATGTACTTGTAACATAACAATATAAAAACATAAGAAGATGATATTCATAAATTACCAGAATATTATAGTCAACAATGGAAGTTTTAAAGGTTATTCTATGCAGGAAAATTGTATACCTATTCATAAAAGGCAGTAACAAATGTAATCATTCGTTAAAGCCCAAAGTACTGTCTTAAAAAAAATCTATCATGATATTTAGCATCATTTGCAAATGTTTTCATTATATTTTATTTATATATATATAGTAATATTATACAATAATTAGGTTTAAATGCAAGATTCTGACATCAAGCATTTTAATAATTCCATATCTTGTATTCTGAAAAAGTTCCAAATATTTCAGCTCTTTTAATGTAAATAATGATACACAACACTTCATTGCTATAACTCCAAAGTCACTTATTCTGTCTGTGGCATATTCTTGCTAACGCGAGGATTGTCATTTTTATAACAGGATTTTGCGAGGCTAAATGGTAATGTTAAATTCATAAACACATATCATTGATTTAGTTTTAAATCTTAAACACTTTGTAAACGATGCCGTATATACGGTGAGTAATCAAATCAAATATCAACGTATTTCCATATCGTAGACGGTAACGTAAATGTGTGCCTAAAATTTATTATAACGTTTTGTTCTTTATGGCATATAAGATGTCATTACTTAAATGAAAGTTAAAAGTTACACCGCTTTGAAGTCTTTAAATTTGAATTACTTTTTATTGCGCAGCTTGTGTCAAATGAGACTTTGCACGGTAATAAAACAAGTTGTTTTGTATCGAAAATTGATGAAGATATCAATCTATACTTGTCAAAATGTATGAGACAACCCGGCACTTATTCATTATCAATTTATATTGAAATAATGTAATAACAATAGATCTTGTATTGATATCAAAAGATGAAAATAACATGCTTTCATCTAACAATTGCGTCTGACAGCATTTACAAAATGCCGGTTTGCTCCTGTTTAAACGAATAACATGCAAGAATACTTAAAGCGCAAATGTCTTTAATATTATGTTGTAATTCCATTTAAATGCATTGTACATTATTTATATTTAGAAACAGAAACAAGATAATTTAAATGCTAGTAAATAATCTTAAACACACCACCTGTTCTTAACGTACTTAAAAGTAAGAGTAAAAAAGTTTATTTTTTCATTTCGTATACATGTAGATATTTATGGAAATAAACAAATATTGTTTGCTGTTTACACTATATAACAAATGCCTTATATAGGCTCTTTCATAATTAGAAAAAGGCCTCTTCACAATATCAAAATGCTAGTTATACAACTGAAAGAAAAGTTTATTTAGCAGTGTCACATGAATATTATACGTTATTTACAGCTAATAAGAGGTAGTTAGCATTTCCAAGATGGAATTTTCCAATATTTAATTTTTTTAAGGTTTAAGAAAGAAAAATGTAAGTTATAAATTAACTTTCACAAATTGTATCAATACTGTGCTTCTTCTTTCAAAAAATTAAAGAAAGTAATGCTAAAAATTCACAATTTCAAGAAAAATGGTATTACATCGTGTGGAACTTTCGTCACATATATTACTTGCGTTTTTGTGTGTCTTAAAATCACATTGGGAGGAAAAAATCTTTAAAAAGTTACCGTTTCATATGAATATGATCATCTTATTTAACAAAGTGGTTAAGGTTGTTGTTGACTTTGAACAATTTGCCTTTCACCAATGTATATTCGAATCGCGTTAGAGACTTCGGATTATTTCATGTGAGGAAAACATCCAAATATTCATTATAAATTAATTCAATTAATACAACAGAGAATCAAAATCGGCTTGGATATACAAGATAAAACATTCAATTACGATTGAATATTTCTAAAATTGTCCTTTAACGAAAATACATTAAGAATATTTTTTTCACTAATTAGAATTAAAAAACGAGAAATTTAACATTTTAAATGAAACATAAAATGATTAAATTAAACAGATTCTGAAGTTTGTCTTTATAACTAAAATTTAATCTCTCAATTATGACACAAAATATGCTAAATGGATTAAGTCGTCATAACTGAACTAAGAATAAGAAAATATGACAGGAATATTTACCTCTCCTAATTGTGTAATACAAAAACCCGTCGGCAATTTCCAGTTCTGAGTCTTCAGAATATCTACAGCCGTCGCATCTCCTGTCCTGTGGTTGGTAAAATATGTCAACACAGGATGACGATCCTTTACAATAGAAAGCACATTGAATATCGCTGTAAACCTTGTCAATACTAAAAACGCGTTTTGCCTCAGGACACGTATAACCGTCAAACACTCTATTCCTCCTAAAAACAAAGAATTCTGAAGAGTACAACAGGCAAACCGACGTAACAAGTACGAAAAAGGAGAGAACATTAGCTGATGCCGTGTTCCTCATGTTGCCTGCGCCTCACGATTCTGCAATTATCTTTTTATAACGAATATCGCGCATGCTCATAACTTTCAAAGTTTCGCCCAGAAAATACAAATTATAGCTTGGAATTGAAATGTATTACGCACAATGCAATTACGTTTAGAATGAAAGATGAAGCAATAAATCAAACTGAAATGTGAAGTCTAATTAATTTTCTAATAAAGGTTTGAAATTGAAAATATTTACCATGTCAATTTGTCTCCACGTCAATAAATATTGTAGCTCTTGAATATTAATTGAAATTCTATTCACGTTAACGTCAATGTTGAGGCTGATAAAATATACCCGTTATTATTTTTGAGATATGTATTTCTTGTTAGTTGTATTGCGTTTAATTTGCTGTAACATTGTCCTCATCGCTCTCTTGAGATCTTTCTTGTCAAAAAATATATCGTGTAGGTAGTAAAACAATGGAGAAAACATGGATCGCCCATACATAAAACATAGATGTTATTAAATAATATTTGACAAATAACTAACTGTCAGCAAAATAACCTGTGATAAACATGAATTTTGTTCATTGAGTTATAAGTTATTTGAACATTAATATTAATTCATTTTGGAAACTGAAATCACTTTAGAATCATATTTTATAGTTGAAGATTTACTACTCTTGTCAAATACTATAATTGACTATAATTGATTGGATTTTGTAATTGAAATTATTTTTTACTATTTATTACATGTATTATTTTTATGATCATTTATTAACAAGAACGATCAGTGATCACACGTGTCGCTTCATGATAGCCAATTGCATGTTGTAGCAACAAAGTAGCAGGAGAAAATCATTAACAGGGAAAAACGCATATGTTACGTGATGAAATATGTTTATTACTGCTGGCTGATGATAGAACATTGAAAAACTCTCAATAAAAATTAATGGGTTTGTCATTTCTTAAATGTATACATATTTTCAATAAAGTATATACATGTATAATTTATATTCTTATTTTGTAGCTGAATGACCAATTGCTGATGAATCCAAAATTGCGTTTGGATAAAACGGTTATTGTCTGCGGTCAAAAACGATTTTAATACAAACACTGGCATAGCTTTCGCATAAGCGATGGATCCATTGCAGGGGCGGTGGAGCATTCGTCGCAGAGCGGTGGATATAAAAATGGCCGTTTGATGTTGTCGGTAAGTTTATGACTGAAGTTTACTTTTATGTTTTAATGATTTACGGGGGAAATACATAGAGGGACTGGAGCCCATATAGGTACTCTTCCAATTTATTACACGCACACAATATAATTAATTGCTTTTTATGAAACACTTCTGTGCAGTTTGATAAAGGGACACCACTTTTGCCCAATTTTGGCTAAAAAACGTAAACATGTAAGCAAACGACCCCTAAATACTCGGGCATCACCATTTATCTATAATATTTGCACAAATCCACCATATTTTGGAACTTTTGGAAATTGTTATTGTCTGTTTAAAAAATAAATAACAAAAAAATGATTACAACGCAGACGGCGTTTGATCCGATTGAAAAACAGTGTAGTGGACGCGACAGCATTCATTCAATTTTAAGGATTTAATTTGACATATAAGTAACGTACTTTTCATTTGAGGACAACCTTGTCTTACTTTGACCTCAGAAAAAGTGTTTATTTCGTGTCTAAAACAATATAATTATATATACATATACATTTATAGAAATTTGCCCTAGTAACATAAATTATTGATTACCATTTATGGTAAATTATGAAATTGAGCACATTTTTATGGCAAAATGTCAAATTATTTTCATTTTTTCCTATTTTCTGTTGTCACTTGGATTGGCATAATGACACTTAAATGCTTCTTATCTACAAATTGTTATCATTCTTTAGGGAATGACATTTAGATAATATTTTATGAGTTTTCACAAGTCTATAACTGCATATGTCTATAAAATGTTTTATCTGCTTTATGTGTTGTTGTGGACCTGTAACTTTGTCCTTTGCGATGACAAAAATATTGAAATTCAAGAACTTAAAGGAATTGTAGTCCGCATGGAGGAGATGATGGAACTTCAAGGAAACGCAATTTCTAAATACCATCAGCAAATGGAAGAGGTTAATGAAAAGATTAATCATCTCACTGAACAAGTATCTGCATTTCAAAAAGGCAAAAGAGGTAATTTGATTTATATCCCTTTTAAATAAGTAAGAGTAAGAACAGTTCTACAAAAAATGATATGTTTTAATTTACATAGCATATATAGACTCACTAATAATTCCACTTTCTTTTTCCCCAGACTTTTTTGTGATGCTATATACTTACACATATCTACATGCATGCATATTTTTTATTGTTTCCAACTACTATCAACCCGGCTATGAGTTAATTTCAAATTATTAATTTGTTTTTTTAAATTGAAAAAAAAATTACATGCATGAATTAATGACTTTAATCAAATTTGCCATTTCAGGCAAAAGGCAAACGGAACGGGTAGCCTTTACTGCTTATTTGGATCACGGTCAAGCAGTTCACAGTGGTAATGTTCTAAAATTCAACCAGATATTGTATAACGTCGGAAATGCTTACAACATCCATACAGGTATCTTCACTGTACCAATAACTGGCACATACCTATTTTCGTTTCAAGTTGAAGACTGGAGAACGAAGGAATTGACTTTCTACTTGATGGTTGACGGTCAGAACATGGTAGACGCTATAATTGGCAATACTGGAAGTACACAGAGTGGTAACACAGCTATTTTAGGTCTAACGATAGGAAATTCTGTTTGGATTGAATCTGCTGAGGGATATGCGTATGGCGAAAATAACTTTCGTGGGACAACATTTTGTGGTGCATTTTTGTATTGATTTATTTAAATAGATAAATCTATCACTTCAGATGAGATTTTATTGAATGTACACCCACTTCTAATTATCTTTGATAGGTGAAAGTTATCCATATCAAAGCAGATTCATCTGCAATTTGGATTTTAAAGGCGTTTTAAGCTCCACATCTCAAGTGTCATGGTCAATATTACCATTATGTGAGTAATCTGGAGACACATATTTTTTTCTTTCAGGAAATGATTTGCAGCAATATTTAAATATTTGATTGAAATTAAAGTAATCTTAATCAGAATCATAATTTATGCCAAAAAGCCTCTTGATAATTAAACACATTTGTATACTTTTTGTCTCCCGGTTTTTAGAAAAAAAAGGAATATAGAAATAGGCTCTGTCCGTCTGCCAGGTCCATGACAAAGAATTTTGATATTGCTTTGCACAAATGTTTACCACATTAAGACAGACGACGTGTCATGCGAAACAACCAGAATTCTACCTCCATTGTAATGGTCACACTTGGAGATCAAATGACAACTTTGTCCGATGGAGGGTACAATTCGTGTCCATTCCATAATTTTTTTTGTCCATTCAGATATTTTGGAATAACTTATCCAGTTATTAACGTTTTCACCCATCAAGGGATTTTGATATAATCTGACACAAATGTAGACCATAATAAGACCATATTTTAAGCTTAGAACCCGGGCCCCTACCTCCAAAGTCAAGATCACACATTAAGCTTAATGTGGTCTATTATAAGGCGTTTTTCAAAGGATTTTGAAATATGAGTTTCGCAAATATTCACCACATAAGACAATGTGTTATAAGAAACACACTGACCTCTACCAAGGTCAAGGTCACACGAAGGGGTCAAAGATAAACATGGTCTGTATGCTCCTTTTCCATAGAAAATCCTCAAAAGTATTAAAGAGATTCCAGTGAAATTTAAAATATAAATAGGTCACAGTGAGAGGGAATACATTGTAAAATAACCATAACATAATTTTGTTTGATACTTTTGTCTCCCTGTACGTGTTATATTCAGTCATACATACTGTTTAAATGTATTTCTACATACAGAGGTGGGTTTTTGTCAATATATTTCGATAATGAATTCATTGATGCATGTGCAGATATAAGATATATCAAGATTTGGTTTAAACATAATATAATTGCTATATTTACATTGTGATGAACACTATTTACACAGTACATTATGGGATTATCAAGATTTGGCACTTTGAGTTTAGATCCATGCCTCAAACATTTAAATAATTGAATAATATTGTTATAATCAGATTCAAGTTTAATAAATTCCATTGATGCGAAAATTCTGGTTAGTATCACGCTTATTTCCTTTTTGTTATTTCTTTCTTTTGTTACCGGTACTAAAGTGATTTCATGACAAGTTTATGCTTCTGAACTTCTCCAAATAAACCATCTACATAATGCAAAGGAGGATGAATGACAGACATTATCCTTATTGGGCGTACCTGGTGAGTTGATGCTAGCTGATATAAGATTATATCCTAGTATCAAACTCTAGCTAGTTTAGTTGACGATTGTTTTCCAAATGGGAACAAACAGTGTAATAGGATATTGTTACGCGTTTAGATACCAGTCGTGAGCCGCAAGGACCACTTCAATCGCAGTTTCGACAGTTTTAACACGAATGCATTGTAGTAGCAGTTCACTTTAAAAGTAAGTTGTCAAGTCAGGCTCAACGCGAGTGAAGAGTTGGAATAACAAAACCACGATGGTATTCAGGCACAATGATTTCGGAGTACTTTCTTATATTTTATTGTTACAAACGTCACTAACATTAGTCACATATATTTGATAAAATGAAATTTATAAATGTGACCCAGTTGTCTTTTCCCTTTAATTCAAAACAAAACATGAGGGTTGCTGGTTCTTGTTTTATTTGCAGTAGACACTAATATATCATAATTATACAGTCCATCGGTTCAATGTTTCATAGCACACATATATCATAGTACTAGCATAGCATAGCATCACATAGCAACGAGCCCTGAAAATATACACATTAAGCATTCCATATATCCATGGAATATTTGATACAAACATATACATATCTTTAAATATAACAAATCCATTATATTAACAGATCAGTCGATATGAATATTCTAAGAATGTACCTTTTCTAAATATGATCATTCATACACAAAATACATAACTGAATACGTAAACATCCTATTGAACTTGCATCAGTTATCAAATCCACAACTGTATTAATAAAAATAAGTCTTCATTTAGTTGACATAAGAAATTTTAAGAACAAAGATATAAAAAGATACCAATACCAAGTTCCTCAAACCTTAATATTTAAATAATAATTTCTAAGTAAAAAAAAAACATACATTCATGTCACCATGACCATCAACTTCTGATTACTCAATGAATGACCTCAGGTGACCCTAACTTTTGGAGGGAAATGTTATGGATGACTAGATAGCAAAATGTGGTCGATGGGACATAATGACATAATGATTTTAAGGTTAAAATCAAACAAGGTCGACAGAGTTGTCTTTCTTTGAAAAAAACAAAAACCTTTACTTATGTACATGCGGCTGTGTTAAAAACTGTACGTTAATGAAGCCGCCTCATTTTGTTATTCCCACCGGCTTTAATTTATCATCTTTTATTTGCCATCACTATTAATGGCTTTGATGAGTCATTTGCACAGTTAAGGAATATGGCGGGGACGTGATATATGATTGAAGTATAGGCTAGAGTACATATTGGGTGTTCTTCGTAAATAAGAAAGCTAAACAGGAGCGGAGCTTGCGAAGCGACTGTAGCTTTCTTATTTACGAAGAACATCCAATATGCACTCTAACTGGCTTAGTGCTCCGCCCACTTGCGTTTTATAATATAAAACGTCCAGTTTATATAAAATCTGTTCTATTAAGATTTGAAACCTGAAAATTTGAAAAATCCTCGTTGGTGATTGGCTTAAAAAAATTGGCGAGCACTAATCCATGTTACATGTCATTACTTTTAGTTTTTATTTGTTTTACTCAAAATATATGAGGGACTATCGTGTCAATTAGTTATGATCACTCTTCATATGTTCATAAGTGAATATGTCGCATCACACCTTGACCCAATCATTTATAAATTAGAGTGTCTAACACAATACCTGTTTGACTTAACTTCTGGTGAAAAAAGACAATTTTTTTTTTCAAATGTACACACTTTTCGTTTTCGATTCTAACCTACTTGATAAAAAAGGTAATTTAGTTATAAAAAGTGAAATACATTAATACATGAAGCATGTTAGTGTGTTATTTTTGTCTTCAAACTGGCCCTTAGAAAGCTAGAGAAAAGGTAATGGTGAAAAGGTATTTAGTAAGGTGAAACCTTGAATCCCGTTTCTAATATAGTTGATGCCTCTTTTTTTTCCTATTTTCTCTTCTTTTTTTAGATGTGTACGAAATGAAGCTATGTAGGCTAGAATGTTATATATGGTGGTGCAGGTAATCCTATTATGGACCAATTTTATTATGCAAAGAAAAGAAAAAATCCTCTAGTTTCTTTCTCCACTAATCTTCATACTTTTTTATTGGCCGGGTTGCACTGGTGCAAATCCGGGTTATAGTATGGCGAATGTCGGGCGGCGGGGGTCGGGCGGGCGGGGAAAATATTTTTGTAACAGTTTTCTCAGCAGCTACTTATTACAGCCTCTTGATATTTGGCATACAGCATAGACACATGGTCCCATACCGTAGGATTTGATTTCAGGTCTGTCGCTCATCCACTTCCTGTTAATCCACTTAGTTAAATTAGTTAAATTTTTCGACATTAATGATCAATGGTAGGAAATTTTCGCAACAGTTTTCTCAGCAACTACTTATCACAGCCTCTTAATATTTGGCATACAGCATTGACACATAGTCCCATACCGTGGGTTTTGATTTCAGGTCTGCAGCTCATCTACTTCCTGTTCACCGACTTCGTTATATTTTTCGACATTAATGGTCAATGGTAGGAAATTTTCGTAACAGTTGTTTTAGCAACTACTTATCACAGCCTCTTGATATTTGGCATGTAGCATTGACACATGGTTTCATACTATGGAAATCGATTTCAAGTCTGCAGCTCATCCACATCCTGTTCACATTAATTGTCAATGATAGGAAATTTTCGTAACATTTTTCTCAGAAACTACTAATCACAGCATCTTGATATTTGGCATACATCATTGACACATGGTCCCATTACGTTGGGATTCAATTTTAGGTGTGTAGCTAATCCACTTCCTGTTTACCCACTGTATTAAATTTTCGACATTAATGGGTCAATGGTAAATTTTTTTCGTAGCATAACAGCCTCATGATATTTGGTGTACAAATGCAACCCGGCCTTTTCTGTCTTTGACCCATTTTTTATTTATTTATTTATTTTTGAATGGCAAATATGAATTGATGAGAGAACGTCTGTTATTCTTAATACTTTATATAACAAATTCATTGCTATCTTATGTGTCTTTATTTCGACAGTCATATTTAAAAAGGATGAGGTACATCGATATTAAGTAGGAAAATTGGTACTGGAACTAGGTCTGGATAAATCATGCCAATCGGTGACATTGCTCTGTAATTTTCTCCGTTGTTTTCTGTTGTCTGTTATCGGTTCAATCGCTGGCCTAGTGGTTAAGGTGTTTGCCTCTCAACCCAGGGGTGACGGGTTCGATCCTTGGTCGGTCATG